CAAACACCATGCCCTGACTCAACTACCTACTTCTCCCCCACCTTCTGCTCCTCCCTCTCGACCACCCCTACTTCCCCCACCCGTCCTCACCTGTCCCCCTTCCCCAACTGTCTGTCTGTCTGCTTGTCTGTGAGTTCAGGTGAAGGACCAGCAGGTGAGCTGTCGCGCTGAAGTGACGGAGATCCTGGAGCAGGACACACTGGCCAAGTTTGTCAGCTTTGTCATCGCCTCAGTGCAGCGCATCAAGGCTGGTTAGTGTCATAGTCATGCGCTCACCCCTACACACACACACTCGCACATGTACACACACATGCACACATACTTACACACACACACACATATACACACACATATACACACACACACTTACACACGTATATACACACACACACACATATACACACACATCTGCCCACGTAACACTTGTTCACTTACAAATGTATTAGTTTCCTCTGCTGGGGAAGCACAATAGTACCCAAGTTATAAATCAATAACATCCATCTCTTGTGACAAACCCTACTCATAAACTTCTTGTGTTTGAAAAGACTAATTTTTTTGCAAATATATTATGACAGAATGCACCAGTCTATTCAAAATTTTGACATTTGATGTATTTCTGTTTGTTTTTATATTGGAGAAAAGAATGGTATCCAGCCAGAAATAAACAATGTTTTTCCTTTGTCTTTGTTAATCAATAGTTTTGTAATTTAAGTAGTCTATTTACATTAATAGGCCTTCCATTGCGGCCATGAGTCAAAGTTGAAGTAAGGGGGAGCGAAATGGAAACTTTTTATGTTTATGAATCTCCTTCTGTATATATGTTAAGAACTTTGCAACAGATACGAGTTTGTTAAAACAAATGTGTCTGTGTGTGGATTTGTGTTTATGCTTATGATGAATATCTTTGTATTACTCTTTAACTGCCTATATATTTGTGTGTGAGCATGCACAAATTATTATGTGTTTCTTTATGTGGGTGGTTGTTTTAATGCAGTTTTTTTTTTTAATGTATGTGTGTTTTCTTGTGTTATTTGTGTGTGTGTGTGTGTTTTCATGTCATTTTGTCAGTGATGAGCGGTTCTTACTGTAAAAAGGAACTCGGTCCTGATGTTGTTTCTTTGTGTTTCTCTCCTTGCCTGTACCAGGAGAAGAGCTCTCGGTGGAAACGCTGTGGGTGGTCTCCCTCGCCCTCAAGGTCCTCAACCGCAGCCTGAAGAGTGAGGGCATGTGTGGGGTGGGTGGGGCAGTGTTCACAGGCACCTTCATGCAGGCCCTGGTCTACCTGGCCTGTACAGGGACTGGACTCAACCAGAACTGGAGGCAGAAAGATCTGGAGGTGAGTCAGTTAATTAATTATTTTTTTTTTGTTTAGGTTTTTTTTATAAGTGTTTTACGGCGCTCGCAACTGCATAAGGTCATATGACATTTTTGGTACGGTAGGAAATTTTGAATTTTGTGCGGGTGGTGGTTGAAACCTACTCCTATCAATTTTGGAACACCAAGGGGTCTTTAACGTGCACAACTTGCACGTGGGACCTCCTAAATTTTTCGCCCTTGTCCAAGAAGGCTAGGTGTTAGATCTTACCTACTATAAGACCTGGGATGTGGCTGAAAGACAGTAGTAAGAAGGAGCCAAGGAGTAACAGTAGAAAGGCTGTGGAAAGTCAGGAGTCCAGAGGAGGGGAAAAGGAGGTGAGGGGGTAGGGGCAGAAAGTGGAGACGAAAGCAGATGACAAAACTTTGTTAGAGAGCAAGAAAGGAGGTGAAAGGAGACATTTTAGAGAAGAACATTTTCCGTCGCTCTCCAGATTCGAATATGGGACCTATTGAATGGGAGACGAACACTGTAACGTCTCGACCACAAGAGCCTCCGCCAGTTTGTTTGTTTGTTTAGTTAAAAGAAACAATGTGTGAGTGAAGCACGCCATTGATAGGTCCATTTTTCTTTTCTTTTTCACTCTTTTTTCTGTCTATCTTGCTTTTTTCCAGTACTAAATGACCTTTATAGTGCTGATGTGCTTCTTTTTACTTCAACAAACTATACTAAGTCCTGAACCAGTCAGTGGGTATAAAATTATTAGCTTTAATAGGCTAGCTGTTAGGATGCCGGATTTGCAACCACAAGATCAAGGGTTCAAATCAACGTCTCCTTGAAAAAGGCACTTCATTCAGGTCAGGTACAGTGTGTAATATTTGTACTTCATCTTCAGCATGATTTTTTGTCTTTCCAATCTTTTGACTGAGGGATAGGTCTCATTTATAGTGGTCATCTATGTGTCTGATTAGCCATAAAGCCCCACCATAAGACCCACTTTCAAAATGATGTTTTTGTGTCGAGCATGATGTGAATCATGTATATCAGAAAAGCACAAAATAAAACCAACTGCGTGAAAAAAGAGACACACTGAAACTGTAATGATCATTTAATGGACAGAAGTTATTGTAGCAGAGACAGGACACTTATTAGTTGGTAATCTTTGAGGGTGGTACTTATGGATAGTTGTGTGCACATTGCTACATGACACCTCTTTTATATGTGTGTCACTGTATGTGTGTCTGAGTGTCTAGATATCTATGTGTGTGTCTGGATGTGTGTGTGTGAGAGAGAGTGTCTGACTGTGGCCGTGAGTTCCCTCTGCCAGCTTGTCCTCATAACTGTTTCCCTCAATGGCTCGTTTATATGTAAATGTATGTGTCCATCTGTGAGAGTGTGTTGGTATGTATGTAAGTATCTGTGTGTGCGTGTGTGTACATATGTGTGTGGCAGTGTGTGTGTTTTTGTGTGTCTGTATGTCTTTGCGCTGTGTGAGATATTCTGACTATGGCTGTTATGTCCCCCATATAGGTTCTGTCCCTACTGCTGTACACCCATGATGGCTCAGCTCCCAAGAAGACCAAAATCAGCCCACTAAAAGAAAAGAAGAAAAAGAAAGGAGGAGATAAAGAAAAGAACGAGAAGAAGAGTGATGATAGCGATGGGATGAACAACGTGGAAGACGATGATGACGATGATGATGACTCTGATGATGAGATCTCGCTGAGCGACAGCGACAAGGACGACAATGATTCCAACGACGATGATGATGAGCCTGGATGGACAACCACCTCTGATTCAGATTACGAGGATGCGGACGAAGAGCCTAACTCTACCGAGACACCACAGGACGAGGGGGCAAAGCAGTTAATGGGTCAACAGGCGAAGGAATTGCTGGAGGTGAGTGGTCAGTAAAGCGGAGGAGAACATCAAACTTCTCTCTATCTTTGGAGGTAAGACCCATGCTCCAAAAGGTCAGGGGATACAAATAATCTGCTGTCCAGTCATCTGATATCTAAGAAAGTGTTGACATATTTCTCCTGGGATGAAAGATAAACTGCTTGGGTTGGCTTTGATTGGGTGGGTTAAGGCCCCCCCCCCCTCCTCATAGGTGTAGATTGTATTGAAAGAGGTGAACAGGATTTACTCATTTACATCATTAGCTCAATTGGTTTCAAGTTTGGCTAAGGTGTGAATGACCCTGGTTTGAATCTGCAATGGACTGTCCTTGAACTTTCGCTGGTTGAGGTTTTTTCAGGACTGGCCACCCACTTGCCTCAGTCCTTTGAGAGATGTATATTAAATTGGAGTCTCTTTCCTCTTAAATAACCCTATAGTGTTAAAAGGGTTGTTGAAAGCATACAATTAAAATTTGCAACAACAAAAAGGAGTTATTGATAATCATCAAGCCTGTGTCCATGTGTAAGGAGAGCCAATAATGAAACATCTCCCCCCCCCCTCCTTCCCCCTGTTTCTTCACCTCCCTTTCCAAGGCCCTGCACCAAGAGCTGGCTATCCCAGAGCCGGTGCTGGAAGCGCTGTGTGCGATGAATGAGGGTAGTCCAGAGGGCATCATCAAGTCCATCCTGGAGAAGTGAGTGACTTGCACACCTATTAGATACTCAATACCACATGTACACATACACACACGCCCACCAAGCACACTCGCCGACACGTGTTCATGTACTGGTTGGAAACATCCACTTTGAAAAATATATACGCATACACACTGACCCTCTGACAGGCATACATACACATACCACCCAGAAATGTCCACTGACATGTTCACACTCACACGCACGCACATACACACACACACATACTCTCACTCTCACACACACACACACACACACACAGATTTGAGATGTAATATCTAAACGTTTTGCTATGGAATGCAGAAGTCCTGAGTTCAATTGTCATATAATAAAGCCTATTTTATTGAGTATTATAAAACTCTTACTAAAACTGAAAAAGCGTAATCAGTGACATAAACAAAATCAAGCAGAACACTCTGGCGCAGCACTCGCATCCCTACTGACTCAACAGACACATCCAACTCAACTCATGTATTTACCAACAAAACACACCTGTTAATGTACACATATGCCAACACACCTGTTAATGTACACATATGCCAACACACCTGTTAATGTACACATATGTCAACACACCTGTTAATGTACACATATATGCCAACACTAGAGTCTGTAAGAAGGTTTTACTTCTCATGTTTCCTTTCTGTCTCTGTCTTACTTTTGCACTGTACTAAATGACCGTTTATTGTGTTGATTTTCTTCCTTTTGCTCAAGCAAATGAACAAGTAGCAGAAAGTTGAATGTTGTGTTGAAAATACTTCTATGAGGCTGATCACACAGCATGACTCTGAGGGGAGGGGAGTTGAGTAGACAAATGTATTCACTTCAGCTCTATGGAGGGCAGAAGACTTGGGGGTGGAGGTTGAGAGACTGAAATAGAAAGTAATTATTTTGTATCTCAGCAGCACTGTTGCATAAGTAGAGAGGCGGGGACAAAGATATTACAGTGTGAATAGAGTAGAGTGAAGTACTGTTGGTACTGTTGTGGCTGTAGTGAGAGAGCAGTGCTGTAGTGACCAGCCTACCACCATTTCTGTACCCCCACATGTGCCAGGATGTTTCCGCCCCACTAGTTACCCTCCTCCTTGTACTTGTATTTCTCCTCCTTACAGCTTTGGGGGCGACAGTGAGAATGTCACGGAGTTCCTGACCAAGTGGTATGTACATGTGTCGACATGGCTGTGATTCTACTTTGTGATGTGTGTCAACATGGCTGTGTGTAAATGTGTCTCGCTGTGTCAGAGGGAAGATGAGTAGGAGGGATACATGTACTGGAGGAGCGCAGAGATAAATGCGTTGGAGGGGAGGGAGGGATACATGTTGTGGTGGGAAGGGAGGGATACGTGTGAAAGAAGGATATGAAGATACATGTGAAGGAGGGGAGGGGTGGGGGGACACATTTAAGGGGGGTGGGGAGTGCGAACTCATGTGAAAGGAGGCAGCGGGATTCATGTGAAGGAGAACCCGGGAATTGGGGATGGTCGCATGTAGATTGCATTTACGTTAATTTTGCTGGGATTTTCTTCAATTTCAAGGCGAGCTGTTTCAGGTTTTGCCTGCCAGGACAAACCTAGCCTGCCTGTGAGGGGATACATCCCAGTAGAAAGACAAAATTTTACTGAAATATGTCTTCCTATTTAGAGTATTGAATCAACTTCCTCTGCATGCAAGACTTTCACTGGAGAAGCTAGTGTATGTGTGTGTGTTTGTGCTTGTGTGTGTATATCTGTTTTTGAAGAAGTGTTTGCATTTATATTTAGGTGTGTCTGTGTATGTGTGTGCCGTGTGTGTCTGTGTGTGTGTGTGTGTGTGCATATCAACTGTTCAGTGTAAGACTTAACCATACTCCATTTAGAAAAGTGATGTATGACAGAACCGTACACTGTGCAGTCAATATGTGCTTTATGTGTTGGGGGAACTGCATCTGTCCTGAATGAGTATTGTTGTTTCCCTTGAGTGGTCAGAGGATGTGGTAGTGTACTATCTCTATCTCTCTTTTTCCCTGTCTTTCTGTGTTTGTTTCTCTCTCTTTCTTCCCAATATATGAGGTATGGTGGTTAAGCTCTTTACCATTGCATGCAGAAGATGTGAGTTCAGTTTCAAAGTGGGGGAAGTTGTATTTTTTAAGTATCTCCGCCAGTCTTCTAGAATGTTGTGTCCCACTCAGTTCGGGTTAGCCCTGACAGGCGGAGTCAAAGCACCTGATTCCCCTTACAATTTCAATTGTGTTGTTAGAGCTGTAAATCACTGACAATTATAGAAATTTTCATGGACTGTTTATGTCTCCGTCTGTCTGTTTGTGTATTGCTACTCTTACTACCAGTGTCATGCCCCTCCTCCTCCCTTCCCTCCACAGGAAAGCCAAACAGGCAGAGGCCCCAGAGAAGAAAGAGACCACGTCAGAGAATGCAGCCATTGACACGGGCATTACAACGCATGCCAACATAGGGGAGACACACAGGTATGCACTAGGTGCCTTATGACACACTGGTACACCTTACACTCAAAGTGACATCCTAGTTGCCACTACAGGTAGTGAGATCAGCAGAACATACTTTGTAGTTAGATCCTCAGTTGCTTACTACACATTGTAACACAAAGGTACACACTACACACGTGGCACACAGGTGCATACTACACACACTGAAACCATTGTGAGACCCTCAAATGCATGCTACACACTACACACAGACCATTGTCATTTGTCATTGTATAGGTTTAAAGGCCGTTTTAACATTGTAAGGTTATGTAAGTGGCATTACCTTCTAATTTAAAATCCATCTCCAATAGGACCCAGCCAATTTCTACCTAAGTTCATAATGATAGGTTTAAGATTTGCACCAGGGCGACCTGCTCTGTAGTCCAACATGATAGCTACTGAGCTAATGGTGCACTGAGGTCACCGTGAAATCCTCAGGTACATGTTACTCAAAGAAGCATGGACCTTATATGATCTCAAACAATTCATTGACTGAATAATCTGCGAGACAATTATTATGTTCCTTTTTCTTTGTTATAAAAAAACAAATTTGGGTATCATGCTCAACAGATGGGTGAAATAAAGATGTCATTGCTAAGACCCTTAATCTTTGCTCTACAGTAGCAACGTCCTTGTATATCATGTTGCTTGTCTCCAACTTTATATAACACCAATAGTACCATCATGTGAAAGATCTCTCATGTACAGGAAACCTTAAACTGATTTATGCGTCTATTAAGCTGTCATGTCGGTGCTTCTGAATTTCATGTGAACTATTGAATTATCAAACTGGCCATGCTTCACCTTCTATTCAATGCCTCAAATAAATGAAAGGTTTTTGGAAGCCTTAGACTTTCATCTTAACAGTCTGTCAAACTGACCATTGTCGACCGTTGCTCTTCACCCTTCACCCCACCCCGCCTTAGAGAACAAAACTATCAGGGCCAACTTCTCTTCCTTCTTTCTGCTGTTTTTGTCTGTCAGTCTTGCTTTTCCCCCGGGGCAGTGCCATTGACTGTAGTGTCTTTAGACCATTCCCAAAGGGGGGACATTTCTCGTTCAAGCGCAGTAGTATTGTAAATGGGCTGATTCATGTCACGCTCATAACTGTGCCTGATCTACAACACGGAACTGCTGCTTTCTCTTTCCTTATCCTTACTATTGTCATTTTCCTCTACTTCTTTTGTATGTTTGTCACACTCTTGTGACCTGCTATTTCCGGGATGCCTTGATAGTTGAAGCAGACCTTATGCTGTTGAAGCTAGAGAGGTGAGCAGAGTAAGTCTGATTCCCTGTAAAGACCTCTGTTGACACCCACCCCTTTGCGCTCATATGACCTTATGCAGTTGCGAGTGCCGTAAAACCCTCTACTATAATTTTTTTTAAAGTCTTGCTTTTGTGTTGTGTCTGTGTGCTTCTCTTTACTCAAACAAACAAATGCATCTTTTTAAAATCCCAACCTTCCTCTGCTCAGAATCCCAGAAACAGCAACAGCTGAGGCAGGTGACAACCCCCAGGATCTGTTCAAGCAGCAAGGCCTTTTGGAAGACGAGATCGGAGAACGCATGCGAAGTAAGAGTGCTGGACTGCTCAAGAGAGAGCTGGACAAACATGGCCGCACTGGTTCTCGCGACTATCTGGCCAAGGTGAGGAGTTATGGGTATTGTCATGTCCTGTAATGTCAAGCAGGGTGGTGGGAAAGTGCCTGTGACTGTCTACAAGAGAGTAGGGAAAGGTGCCTTAACTCTCAACTGCCTAAGGGAGAGTAGGGAAAGATGCCTTAACTAGCGACTGCCTAAGGGAGAGTACGGAAAAGTGCCTTTACTCTAGACTGCCTACAGAAGATGACTATGAAGTGCCTTTACTCTTGACTGTTTACAGGAGATGAGAAGGTGTTGTTATTCTTCACTGCTTGTTGCTGGTGATTGAAGATCAGGAATCAGTTTGTTTTCAGAATAGTCGTGCCTGTGGTGTAGTAGTTTGGATCTTCGCTGCTGTTTGCAAAAAAAAAATGAGTTTGATTCTCTTGTGCACTTAATCAGCTGTTTGCTCTGTATGCTTCCCAGGAAGCCAAGAATGTTTCCGAGTGTTCTAGGGTCTACTGGGGTAATATTATAGATTTGTGGAGCGCTTAGAACTTGCTGTTAAGTGGGGCTGTGTACTATCCAAATGCTGTTTATTACAACTTATTATTACATATCTCACTCAATCTGCCATCATTTTTAAAGGTGTAGTATGTGCAGTTTATACAATTTCTCTGGAGAGCTAAAAAACTGAATATTGTTATCAAGAAAACAAACTCATTGTAAAAATCCCAAGTCATTATTTTCACAAATACAATTTTAATAATAGCTTCCATATTATCTTTAAAGCAAATGTTTTTTCTTGGTAACAGCATTAATTTTTTTGGCTCTCCGGTAAAATTGTAAAAACGGCGTATACTATACTTCTAAAAATGACTGCAGCAGTGTCATATGACGAAAGACCTGTGTTACGTGCCTCACACATTGACTTATGACGTATGACCTGTGTAACATGTCTCACACATTGACCTATGACCTGTGTTGTGTGTCCCCACCAGGTGAACCTGGCCCTGACTGTGCTGTACGCACGTCACGCACTGACCAGCCTGCTGGCCTCCTGGCCCACGGACGGGCCGGCCATCAACTCCAGCCTGCTTGGCTGCAAGGACGTGAAGCAGATCCCCTGTGTGCTGGATCTGCTCTACAAGATTGACACACGCAACTTCATCACAAAGGTCACTGGCTATGGTTGAACATACTGTGTTTATCATGTTGTGTGGAAAGGGAGGGGGAGTGGGGAATGGAATAAGGGAAAGAGATTTAGAGTGGAAAGGATCTGGATGGTGGAAAAGGGATTGAGTTAGAAGGGAAAGGAATTGGGGGTCAGAGAAATGGAAAGTGTGTTATGGTATTTAAGTTATGTACTTAAAAGCTTTTTTTATTTTTTTATTTTGTTTCTCAAGGAATTGGCCTTAAAAGGGAAGGGTCAAAGAAGCCTGCTTCCTAAATGATCAGAATTGTGTTGATGCTCCTGAATGATCTAAATTGTGTCGATGGGGATGTAAACATTTGCTGTCACAATTACCTTTGTTGCGTCTAGGTGGTGGACAGAGTGATCCACCAGTGCGACGCGGCCAGCCTGGTGCCCATCGCTTACACCGCAGCACAGTTCATGGAAGAGGTCACGCTGTCCGCCGTTAGCCGGGAGTCAGCTCATCCGTACAGCAACCGCGACGACAAGAAGAAGGGACACATCCAGTTGGCCGGGGCTCCCTACCTCACTGTTACTTTTGACAGCAAGTGAGTCGTGTATGTGTGTCACGTGCGTCAAATTTGACGGCGATTAAGTATTGTGTGTGTGGCATATATATCACATTTGATGGCAAGTAAGTCACGTCTGTGTGTCCTATGTGTCAGTTTGAACTGCAAGTGAGTTGCCAATGTGTGTCGCACACTTTACTCTTGACAGGTAGTAAGTCACTTGCCATTTGTGTGTTGTTAGGGTTGTGCATGTGTGTATTTCACACAATCACTTTTGACAGAAAATAAGTCACTTCACGAGTGTATTGGGAGTGTGTATGCGCTGTTAACAGCAAGCTGGTCGCTGCTGTTGTGTGAAATGTGGGAGGGGGGTTGTTAATGTCTGTCTGCCTCTCTTTTCCCCCCACACTAAATGACCATTATTGTGCGTGTGTATTTCTCTCTAACTGTTACAAAGCATTTGAAAAGGGCTTAACTCTATCTTTGTCTCCCCCCCCCCCCCTTTCCCACAGATGTGCGACATGTGATGAGGATGTCCTAACTTTCTCCACAAGACAGCAACTGGACAAAGATGTGCACAAATTCTCTGGACCCTTCCGTTCTACTTGGTCCTCCTTCCATATACCTGGTCAGTGATTTAACTTTAGTCTATCCTACCTGTTCTTCGTTCTATATACCTGGTCAGTGATCGTACTCTGTCTGTCTGTCTGCCTGTCTGTCTGTCTGTCTGTCAGTCTGTCAGTTGGTCTGGGATGTCTGTGTATGTCTCTGCCTTTCTGTGTGTTCGCTCTTCCTGGTTCTCCTTTCACATACTATGTCGATTATATGTCTGCTTTTCTGCCCATGTGTTTGTCATATGTCTGCTGTTTGTGTGTAGGATTAGATGATGGACTTCTTGTGTGTCTGTCTGTATGTCCATCGGTGAGTGTCTGTAGATTTGTCTGTCTTGTCTGTTTGTCTGATCCACCTTGTCCTCATCCCACATACTTAATAATGAGATGTTGTTATTTCTTTGTGTCTGTCTGTCTATCTCTGTCTGGGTGTCTGAGCTATACGGATCTCGATTCCCCGTTTTAGTGCAATGTTAAACTCTCTGTGTAAGTGTGTGTGTCCGCGTGTGTGTATGTGTGTCTGTGTATCTGTAAGTGTGCCTGGTTCATCTGGTCCTCTGTCTACACTTGGATGGTGGGAGGGCACCACTGGTAGATGTTCCCTTTCCCTCTTTTGTTTCTGGCATCTTTCTTGCTTTTTCCCAGCCCTGAATTGCCCGTTATTATATAGATATATGCTTTTTTACTCAAGCAAAGTGGATGGTTGGCAGCTGGTGTGGTTTGCTTCTTCTTTCCTGTCAAACATCTGTCGTCTTATCTCTCCTCCTTCTTTTTTGTATTTGTTACTCTCTTGTAACACCTCTAATCTTCGGCACTTATATGACCTTTTTGTGTTACAAGTGTCATAAAACATTTACTTAAACAAACTAAAGCAAAACAAGCAAATCCTCTTCTACCAGGTGACACCCTGTACTTCAAGTTCACCATGAACGAGTACGCTGACTATTTGCCCAGATTTGGCTTCAAATTCACCGTGATGCCAGGTACCCGGGACAGCTTTGAGACGGGCCACGCCATCCTGCAGGCCGTCCTCTCATCATCAGTGGCCAGGTGCCTTGCATTTTCGATCTTATATTTATGTATAGGCCTACCTAATACTCTCATTGTGGAACCGGTAGCGCTGTGTCCATATCACCAGCCTTGTTTTCATCTCCTCCCATTTTCATGATGCCCAGCTTCCTTAAACTTTAGCTGTTGGTTACTAGTTACTATTACTTTATCAAACTATTGCTCTTTATTTAGCCCAATTCCCTCAAACTGTTGTTCACTATGCTATGTAGCACAATTTCTCAAACTATTAGTCACCAGTTACCGTAATTTCCTCAAAGTGTTGGTGACTGTTTGGTGCAATATACACAAACAACTAGTCTATTTGAAGATCAAATTTTTAAAGCTTTTGTTCACTAGAATGCAGGCTTTCCTCAAACTATTGATAATTGTTAAGCACAACATCTTCAGTTCTCTTGGGACTCCAAAGCAAGATTTATTTAATAAGTTGGATAACTTTTTAGCAGCTCAGTTTCCTCCAACTGTGTTGTAACTATTGCATCTCCTGTCTCCCTGTCCCTCCTTCTACAACCCTGACGTCTACTGCACCCATGCCTCCTACAGTCTCAATAACCCATGACCTCCATGTCTACTGACCTGTGCATTTTAAAACCCTCGTGACCCTGAGCAGAACATCTGCTGACCCCCATCATTCAACAACCTACACCGCCTCTTACCCCCACCTGCTCCCACTCGCATTACCTCCGACTCCCTAACCACTGACCCATGGCCTCAGATCCACTCCACAACTTGTTGCTTCAACATTTTGCAACTCACATGACCTCTGACCCTCCAGGTCCCTCCCCCTGGGTCAGCTGTGGTCCAGCCTGGTGTACGTGGCTTGCAGACAGCCGGGCCTGCAGCGACTCAAGGCCATCAGCCTCATGATCAAGATCCTCACCCTACAGTCCCGGTCCGGCCCCAGCCAGGTGAGTGTTATGTGCCAGACTGTCACACAATATGCCATGTCCCACCAAACATGGGTAGAAAAATCTTCAAACTAATTAGGTGATTGGCCTTTTTTCCCTGCTAATTAAATGCAAAAGCCGCTTACTTCTGTGATAAGAACACACATTTCTCTCCCCCCCCCCTATCTTCCTTAACCTTTCTTCCTCCCCGTCCTTCTCTTTCCCATCCCCCCCCGACTCATGATGCCCCTCCCTCCCTCTCACCCACCCCATCCCATCCAACTCATAAACCCCACCTCCTTTAAGTGAGAGAGAAGTTGTTTCCAAGGGTCCTGTAGGATGAAGCAGTGGAAGTGCAGATGTTGGACATCTATCAGTTTCATAGGGACGATTATAATGACTTAATCAAGTGTCATTTTCTTTCAACAAGTATTATCTCCTCTTATAATGCCTTGATAGGAAGCATTGAAGCAGCCCCCTGCCCCCTAAATGTTGTGAACTGTGTTATTGTTACATGAATTAATACCAAGAAATTACTTTATTTTTATTTCTTCCTTGTTTCTCACACAGGAGTCATCTGGCCTGAGCATTGACCTTCACCTTGTGAAGCCGCTGTGGGAGTTGTACCGCGGGATGACAAGGGAGGGAGAGGAGGCCAACGTGGCCCAGCCTGCTGTAGTCCGTGCTCTCACCGATCTCTTCCTGCACACAGAGAACCTGGCCATGGTATGCACCAGTGGGGCTTGCTAGCTTGGCTTTTTGTTTTCGTCCAGACTTTTAGGAGCTTAAAAATAGAACTTTGCTGTACTCATGAGGGTTGTCTTTTAGACTTGATTAAATTCAGTTAATTCAAGTTGTAAATATGCTGGTGTTTGAAGGGTAAGTTGGTCTTTGTTACTTTTTCAGAGCACCAAATGACTGGTTATTGTATTGATGTGCTTATGTTTACTCAAAGTCAAACTCAGATCTGAGTTCAAGACAAGCATATCACTAGTATTTTCTATTTTTTAGTGCTGTGGAAAACAAGACTGACAAACAGTACTGAGATATTAAGTCCTGATGCTAGTGGTGCCCTGCAACCACTGTATACTTTCTTACCAGAGCTCTCACTCACACATGTGTACATGCACAGACACCATAATCGCTTATCGTGAAAGTGAAATACCTGTTTTGGGGCATTATATGTAATCATTGGTTAAATGCTGCCTTATAATCATAAACTGGAAATATCATGCTTGTTATGTCTTTTTTTTTGGGGGGGGGGGGCTCGGAAAAATATTGTCCAACGTTCTGCATCATGTATGCTTTATTATAAATGGTAAATTTCACCCAGAACTGCTTCAATTTCAGGAGCGTTTTCTCCTGCCAGTTTTTGTGATTGTTTTTATGGAATTTTCTCTTCTGTTGTGTCTTTGAGTTGTTTAAAGAGTACTTTCTTTTGTCATACCTGACTGTTTTGTGGAGTACTCTCTGTTGTTATGCCTTTGAGTCCCCCCAAATAGACCCACCTCTTCGTGGTGGGGGGGATTAGTACTCTTCGAATAGGAAAAGAAAAAGAGGAAGCTAACGGGTCAAGGGGTGACCCCGAAAAGGGACATATTACTTTACTATGTTTTTTCTCTTTCTATTTATTGTCTTTATTGTTTAACTTTATTACATTTATTAACTTTTCTTTTCTCCTCTCTCCATCGACAACCTTTCTTTGACCTGGAGTTGGGACGGGTATTGGTGGGGTGGAAAGCAGAGGTTCATTGTCAGCACTGTACTGGATGTGACTTTACGTAGAGAATACCCAGCTACATACATGTATTAAGCATGCACTTATCAGAGAGCCCTATGACTGCGGAGAAGGTGCAGAGACCATTTGCGTCTTGCTCGTTGACAACATTTACCCTCTGGGATCTGCCATGCCTTCCCCTGCCCCCATCTCTCGGATGAGAGAACTTGGTTGCTCGGGTAGGAGGGGGGGGAAATCTAGCTTCCAATTGGTATTATTATTACTATTCGTATTATTATTATTATATTATAATTTTTGTATTTCAGCAACACACAGCAACTATGCTCTTAATAGCGTCTTTCTCTTCTTTATCACCTCAAACAACTTCTCAATATAATACAACAGACACCAACATACCCATTCATTTTTCTTACAATCTCTCTGTGATGGAGTTGGGTTTTTGTTTGTGGCATTGCACCTACAGCCACTGCTTTATTTCCTACCCCGGGATGGAAGGAAAATCACAGAACCACCAGTTTTAGATGCTATTCACAAATGATAGAATCCCATACGAGCTGAGACGCCGCCTCGGTAATCAAGGTCTCCCCCAGGTCTTAGTGGGCAACCAAGCTGGCCTGGTGGATGGTTATTGGAAAAAAAAGAAAATCAGAAAGCAGAGAAAATGGAAAAACAAGAAGAAAACACCCCCTACAACTGGTAACGGAAAAGAGAAGCTTATAGACTTCAATATTCTTCAGGCAAATGTCTGTGGCTTGGACAAGAAGAAAACACAATTGGGGAAAATTTTGTATGAAAGCAAAGTCCACATTGCTCTATTACAGGAAACTCTCCATTCATCCTGTGACATAAACATCACTGGGTATACCCCTTATCCATGTAAATGTGAAGGTTGCCAAGGGATTATAACCTATATCAGAAATGACATCCAGGGTGAAGTAGAGCTCCTCAATTGGCACCCCACAGACGCACATAAAGTCACCCTGTGGTATGGCAACTGCAAGTTCATACTTTATAACATCTATTGTCCCCCAAGTAGCACTCTGAACTTCTTGGAACAGAGCACTATCTTTAAGAAGACGGTCATAGCTGGTGACCTTAATGGACACTCCCCCCTTTGGGGCTATGCTGACCAAAACAACACAGGTAAGAGGATTGAAGAACTATGTCTGTCCTCTAACCTCATCCTTCTTCAAGATGAAGATTCAGCCAAAACACTTCTTCACAGGAGATATGGGACCCTCCACAGACCAGATCTCACCTTGGTCTCTGCTGATTTACACAACAATTGCAGTGAAGAGGTGCTAGACTGTATATCTAGTGACCATCGTCTCGTTCTCACCAAAATCAGTATACTGAAACACAGACAAAGGAAAAGAAGAACCCGTTGGAAATTCAAGATGACAAACTGGGATCTCTTCAGAAAAACAGCTGAGGACACCGTTAAACTGGATGATCTAGACAATAAAAGTATAGACACCCTTAATAGTGAACTCACCTCCACCATCTTAGATGCTGCAAAGAAGAGTATCCCACAGGGGTGCAGAACTAACTATAAACCCTTTTGGAACGAACGCTTGGAGAAAGCTACAAAAACTAAAAATGATGCCAGACATGAATATGAGAAAGATCAAAAAAATATGGACAAGAAAATTAGATACAAAAAGGCCGTAGCAGAGGCTAAACGTGTCACCAAGGAATCTAAGAAGGAAGCCTGGACGCAGAAATGTGAGGGACTCAATTTACATCAAGGTGGAAGTGAAGCTTGGACACTTCTAAATAACCTCACTGGCGAAAAAAGGAAAGAAAACCCCAAACCACTACACACAGAAACCGAAGTTCTCACCAGCGAGTTCAAAAAAACCGAACACTTCAATAAACATTTTGCCTCCATTAACAAGAGCAGCAAAAGGAGTGACCTGGACAGGGGCCTACAGAGTGTTCTGAAAGGAAAAGAGAGAGATTTGATGACACCGAGTATCTTCCAGGACTTCTTAACTAAGCGAGATTTGGACTGTGCAATCAAGAAACTAAAGAAGCGAAAAAGCCCAGGTCCTGATAAAGTACACAATGAGATGCTACAAAACCTTGGTGAAAAAGCCAAATTGCTACTTCTTAAGCTCTACAACAGAACATGGACTGGGGGAAATCTGCCAAGCATGGAAACTAGCCACTATAAACCCAATCTTAAAGAAAGGAAAGAAGACCAATGACCCTAAAAACTACCGCCCAATATCACTCACGTCCTGTATTGGCAAGCTCTGTGAAAGAATCCTCAATTCTCGTCTTTATTGGTGGCTTGAGTCTTCAGGTCTGATATCGCAGTGTCAAGCAGGGTTCAGGTCAAAAGGCAGGACAGAAGACCAGCTCTTCAGGCTCACACAGAAAATCATTGATGGATTTCAAAGAGGGGAACAGACAACGGCTGTGTTTGTGGATCTCCAACAAGCCTACGATAGAGTGTGGAGGAAAGGACTACTCTTAAAACTGCAGAACATGGGAATCAAGGGAAACATGTACTCCTGGATTAAATCATTCCTTACAGATAGACTTATCCAGACCCAGATGGATGAAACCCTATCTTCAAAAGCAGTACTGGAGGAAGGACTCCCACAGGGATCTTCTATCAGCTGTACCTTATTCCTTGTCTTCCTCAATGATGTTTCAGATGTTCTCAAAACAGAAAAAGCCCTTTTTGCTGATGACCTGGTCCTTTGGCACACTGGAAACTCGACAACAATAAGCAGACGAAGACTACAAGATGATCTAAATTCCCTAGGAACCTATTGCCGCCTATGGAAGATGAAAGTAAATTGCGAAAAAACTGTCTACTCTGTTTTTACGAGAAGCTATAACCTTGCAAATGCAGAAATCCCTCTCAAAATAGATGGTAACAACTTGAAAAAGGAGAATAACCCAGTGCATCTTGGAGTACAACTTGACAGCAAGCTCAACCTGAAACAACACACCAACAACCTTAGGAAGAAGGCTATGCAGAGACTTAATCTCATCAAACGACTTGCCAGTACCAACTGGGGATCAGACAAGAACACCTTGAGAGGCCTCTATTTGGGATATACCAGAGCTGTTTTTGATTATAATCTTGTTCTACAAAACATTTGCAGTAAAACTTCAAAGAACTCGATGGACACCATCCAAAACCAAGCTCTTCGTCTTATCTCTGGCGGAATGAGATCCTCACCGACTGCGGCCTGTGAAATCCACACAAATATTGAGCCATTAGAAACTCGAAGAAAACGGGCAGCTTTAGAAATATATGAAAGATCTAAAAAGCTAGAAAATAACCACCCTAATAGAGTCCTTGTTGACAAGTGGAAACCTAATCAAAGACTAAAAAATACAAAATCTGTACTTGACACTGTTCTCAATCTCCAAGAAAAACATCACCTCCCTGAAAGACGAGAACCTCTGGAAAGAGTTCCCTCAACTTTCCCACCACATCTCACCATAGCAAAGCCAGAAATTAGGAAAACACTTTTGGACAAGAGCAATAAAAACACATATCCTGTAGCACTAAAACATTCTGCCCTTGAAACAATTGATTCCTATCCACCAACATGGATCCACTCATACACTGATGGATCTGCCTTTAAGGCAACAATCAACGCTGGATATGGGTCAGTGATCAACTTGCCCAGTGGGGAAAAAAAAGAAGTCTTCAACTCCAGCAGGTCCTTCTGCTCCAATTGCATTGCCGAACAACAGGCTATCACCAACACAGCAAACTACATCAACTACTTGTTTGACACTAACCCACTTGCTACCACAGATATCGTTATATTTACAGACAGCCTTTCAACACTAGAGACACTTGAGAGTGGGACTGATGTGAACAAAGATATATTGCATTTGATTTGGAGTCTACATAACTTGATAAGTGGGCACCACGTCAGAGTAGTCCTACAATGGATTCCTGCCCACACTGGGATACCGGGAAATGAAAGAGCTGATGCTCTGGCAAAGAAAGGAGCTAGTCTCCCTCAGCCTGAAATTCCTACGAATTACACCACCTGCTGCCAAATGATCAAGTCAAACCTCAAGGAAGAGTGGATGAATGATTGGGCCACAGGTACGACAGGAAGGAGGATGTATGGCCACATGAATAAACCACTGGTCAAAGATCCAATCAATGAGTTGAGGAGGGGAGATCAATCCATAATCTTCCAACTTAGAACACAACATGTACCCCTCAACCAACATCTCAACTGAATTGGAGTAAAGCAGTCTGCTGCCTGCCCACTATGTGACTACCCCTCAGAGACAGTGGAACATCATCTGTTTTTCTGTAGAAAACTAACTGATTTAAGGGGATGTTTTCTTCCCAAGCTACCCCACACATCTAATTGCCTCTACTCCTCAAGACAACAGTTAGAACAAACATGCAACTATTACCGAATGGCATCATGCAGAAGAGTTAATGCTCAGATGCTACTGGATCGCTAACAACAACAACAACATGCCTTTGAGTTGTTTAATGAAATACAGTCAAAGCTGTCCAAGAGGACCATTCATTTTTGAGGAGAAAAGTGGTCGTCATAGACAGGTGGTCCTCTTGAACAGTGGGACTGTGATATATAAAGAAAAAACTAAGGGGAGAAGTTGGAATGGTCGTTTGTACATGTGACTGTTGTGGATAGGTAGTGTTAGAGGTGAAAGGTTGGAGGGTGCAACTGGTGGGTCCTACTTTTTTTCTTTCCGTACTGTTGTTTCTGTCTGTCTGTCATAGTCTTTCCCTACTGCAAGTGACTGTGTAATATTGTGTCAACCTGCTTCTCTTTACTCCCAACAAACAAACCTACAATGTTCTCCTCTATGCCCGACAGGAGTGGGATGTTAGCGAGGCCTACATCGTGGCCTTGATGGATGTCAGTGACGTCTGCTCCAGCATTGTTCAGGTCAGTGACCTAAGGACACTTCTCGTGCATCTGTTGTCATCGCCAAATACTAATGTGTTGTTCGTCTGTTTGTCTGTCTGTGTATATTTCATTGATATGCTTCCTCAGTTTGCCATGTCTTCTGTCCACTTTCTCTCCGTGGTGCTAGTCTGTCGCCTGAGGGCTTGACCAAGCAAGATTTCAGTCTGCATTGCTTGAAGGAGATGGTAGATCTGAATGGAGTTTTTTTTAACTTGGCCAAAAAACTGTTGTACTCAAACACACATACACACATACATTCATAAACACATGCATACACATACTCTCACACATGCACACTCCGTACACACACATGCTTCCACTCTTATACACAGACACACATAATGCAGACACATACCGTACTGTCTTCTCATCTATGTCTGTTTATTTCTTGAGTAACACACTCAAATCTTCTCTCTCACACACATACTCACACACACACACACACACACACTCACACATAGAGTTTTCCTTTCTGTGTGTGTGTGTGTTTGTTTGCCTGTATGCATTGTTCAACAGTCTTCCCGTTTGTTTCTTGGTCTGTCTATCGGTTTCTGTGTTTTATTTTTATCTGTCTGTTCTGTCCTATCGGTTTCCTCATCATGTCTCTGATTCTGAACAGATTTTGTTTCTGTCTCTTTCTGTTTCAACAGTTTTCATGTTTGTCTCATTGTCTATCCCATGAGATTTCCCGTGTGTGAACAGGTTTTTTAGTCTGTCTCTTTATCTTACCTGTTTCTATATCTGTCTCTTTGTATGTCTCTCCAGTTTGCCTGTTTTTTTCAACTGTTTCCCTGTCTGTATTTCTTGTAGGGTCTGACCAATGTGGCAGCCATCGGTCAAATGATCGGTCACGAGAACGCAGCCACTGAATTCATCACCAAGATCCGCTCCCTGATGACAGACAGCAAGCTTATGACTGCCCTTAAGGCTGAAATCTCAAAGTCTTGAAAGAGCTCTCTTAACTAAGGGGTGTGGGGGTGGAGCCATTTTGCAAGATACTCATCAAGAGACAGTGAAGAGTCCTCTGGCGTTGATTTCTATCATCTGATTTTTGTTTTTGCTTTGCTTTGTCCTTTCTTGTTTTGCCTATTTTTATTTTTTTTAAATCACCATTATGACTTCGTTAGTGATTTACTTTACATGATACATTAATGTTTGAGTTTGAAAAATGTATTAAACATTGTGTTGTTAATACTCAAGCGGCTTGAAACTGATATGTTTGTAATTTTGTGTGTGTCTGCCTCATGTATAGCTGTGGCCCAGAGTTGACTATCGCCAGCGTGATTGTGTTGATATAGATGTGGTCAATTTTTGACTGCCATTTGTGTGACTGTAACTTAAGCGCAAGTGTGAGGTACGTACGGTTTGCTTCACACGTTCGCCACAGGAGGTGACATCCCTAATCCAAATATGCCAAATTTATCGCCCTTTTATTTTTTATTTAACTGATTCCGTCCATTGGGCCGCAGACAGCTGCTCTGAGTTTTTCCGCTGCCTCCATTCGACCGCTGTGAGCAGCTCAACGAAATCCTAATCAAATGTGCACTTTTTAACATAGTTCCGACTTTTTAAGTTGTCGAAAGGAAGTACAACTTGTAAACAAACCTGACCTCAATCTCTGAGCGCCAATATCGATCGAAACTCCGCGAAATTCTTGCAAAAATCGTTGTTTTCTAGTCACGATGTAGGCTAGATCTAAGGGTAAACAACACAGAGCCTGGTATAATAAAAAGGCCCTTCAAAGAAAGATATTCAACTAAATTTGTGAAATTCTTGCATAAATGTGTGCTAGGGTGATATCGCTACAATGTTGTGTTGATTCCTATGGATTATAAGGACTTGCGGAGCTGAGAAAATGCAGTAAGTCCAAATTTTCTTAGAGCTGTTGCGCAATTTTTGTTCTCATTTGTATTTTTCTGAAGGAAAATGCAATACAAACAGATTATAGGTCATTGTTATTGATATAAACAGATTCCTCTATTTATTCCCATCAGTTTGGTATATGACAATACCTATTAGAGTGACTTAGAGCTTCACAGTAATGCATTAAATAGATGCACCCCAGGTCTAAAACTGAACAGGGAAAAAATAATTCTGTCCAGAGCCTGAAAAAATCATGGACGGAATCAGTTAAAGAAAGTCTGTTTTTTGTCTTCAATTTTCTCATTGATTAAGGAATCAAGTTTTTGTATTTTTGTTTTGCCATCAGTGTCGTAAGAGAGAAATGTGTTGGGATAGATTTAAAACAAAGAGTCTTGATATGTTATGATCTGTTGGTCTTGGGTTGTGCATGGAAACCTATCTGATGTAAATATTTCTTTTGACTTCTGGTGCTGTGCAGGAAAGATAAAAGCTGTTGGCTGTTGGGGCTAGGAGAGATGTCAGGTCAACGTTTGATTGGGGACCAGGGGTGGTTGGAGAGAGCACGTGGTAACTCCTGATTCTTTGTGAATTCTGTGGGCATGTCCTGTGAATTCTATGGATGTGTCCTATACTAAAAGTTGTTTCTACATGTCCTGTGAGTTCTATGAATGTGTCCTATTCTACAGTGGAACTCGGATTCAACAAGAACTCGGATTCAACGAAAGGAGATGGATACCAGTTTGTTTTTTCTTCTTTAAAATCAATAAAAATAACGCGGATTAAATGAGCACTTAAATCAGCAAGCTCGGATTCAACAAGGTTGCTTCCAGGGTGAACAGCCCCTGCAGACGTGGCTTTGCTCATTTTTCTCCCTCAACAAACTTATATATTTCCAGAAACCATCCTTTTGCACCTGCATCGTGAACCATTATTCGCTTAGCCGATTGCATGCGGTCAATCGCGACCTTCTTTCACCAACACATGCGTTGTTGCCACGTGTGTGTCGGGGTCAGATGGGCGGCCTGCACACATGTGACTATGAGTGCGTGTCGGGGGGCACCAGCAGTCCGGGCGTGGAACGTCGCTGATACAAACACGTCACAGTCTCCTCCCCCCCCCCCCCCCCCCACCACCACCACCACCACCACCACCGGCAACTGATCACTATTACAATGAAAAACTAGTCTTGACGTAGATCTACGTTATGAATTGTATGCTGGTCTATGGAATCTAAAGTTGCGGTATGCTAGGCTAGGCTCTAAACAGCAACACAACTTTTTGGCAAACAATCGAGATGACACAGGCGGGCATTTGAATGAATCGGTCTTTTTTGTGCACAGCTCATAATATGCAGGCATTTCAGGCACCACTTGTATATATCTCTTTATACATTACTTGCTCAGTGCCTGTAATTATCTGCACAAAACCTCATGTTTGCTATAACGAACACTTGGATTCAGCGAGATTTTAGGTCAGGCCCGGCGACCTTGTTGAATCTCAATTCTGCTGCATAAGTTGTTTCTACATATCCTGTGAGGTCTATGGATGTATCTATTCTTTAAGTTGTTTCTACATATCCTGTGAGGTCTATGGATGTATCTATTCTATAAGTTGTTTCTACATGTCCTGTGAGTTCTATGGATGTATCTATTCTGTAAGTTGTTTCTACATGTCCTGTGAGGTCTATGGATGTATCTATTCTGTAAGTTGTTTCTACATATCCTGTGAGTTCTATGGATGTATCTATTCTTTAAGTTGTTTCTACATGTCCTGTGAGGTCTATGGATGTATCTATTCTATAAGTTGTTTCTACATGTCCTGTGAGTTCTATGGATGTATCTATTCTATAAGTTGTTTCTACATGTCCTGTGAGGTCTATGGATGTATCTATTCTATAAGTTGTTTCTACATGTCCTGTGAGGTCTATGGATGTATCTATTCTATAAGTTGTTTCTACATGTCCTGTGAGTTCTATGGATGTATCTATTCTATAAGTTGTTTCTACATGTCCTGTGAGGTCTATGGATGTGTCCTTTACTATAAATTGTTTCTACGTGTCCTGAAGTTCCATGAATTGTGTTGGCATGTCCTGTGAACTGTGGGTACATTCCTACTGTGTCACATGTGTGTGATATTGAGTGATCCACAACCTTGTGTAAAGTGTAAGGTTGAATAGCAATTAGCATGTGATATTGAGTACTGTGCAGCATTGTCTTTAATGTTGTGAAATGTGCAACATTTTTCCTGCGGAGTAAGATACAGTACAGTGATGTGCTACATTGACTTATGCCATACCTTGTTGAGAACAGTTGAGTTGGCCTACATGACTCCATGTTAACTGTTGATGGGTCAGACATGACCACACTGAGAGCTCTCTTCTTCAGCCATGTGTGGTCAGTCCTTAACCATAAACCATCATCCCATGTGCTGTTGATGAGAAATTATCTATGTCCAAATGTGGGGAGGGCAGGGCATGGCAAGTCACTATGGCAACTTTTTTTGTTTACTTATTGTACAGTCCAAGAACAGAACCACTAAGAAAAGAAAAATGTATGTGTTTTGATTGGGGTTTGATTGTGCAGAGACTGAGACATTGTCTTTGTAAGACTAAGAGAGAGAGAGAGGTCGTGTATGTGAGGAATTGTCTTTGTTCTCCATTTGCTTGTGTGTGAGAGAGAGATTCTCTTTTAGAATCTTCTTCCACTTCATACATGTGTGTGGATGATGAGATTCACACTGAGATGTAGATGTCTAGAATTTTCTTTGGCGAATAAAGTTTGTATCATTATGTCCTTCACTGTGTTGGGAACATATATTGGTCACATTGAACATTCACCCATACCATGTGGGTGAAGTGAAAAAATTGAAGGGGTACTTTTCCTTTCCTTTTCTTCAACTGTCTGCCCTTAACAGGATTTGATTACTTCCAGGGTTACTAGTAAGTTTTGTTGAGATAAGTGGGATTTTTGTTTGTTTGGTTTTTTTGGTAAGTGATTTGCGGCGCTTGCAACTGCATAAGATCATATGAGCGCGCTGGACACATTAAACTTTTTCAGTTGGTAGGAAATTTTTAATCTTGTCCGGGTGGCGGCTAAAGCCTACTCTTAAGTCTTATCGATTTTAGACCACCAAGGGATCTTTAACGTGTGCAACTTGCACACGGGCCCTCCAAGATTTTTCGCCCTTGTCCGAGAAGGCTAGGTGTAAATTTTCCCTACCAGAAGATCAGGGGTGTGGCTGAAAGACAGCAGTTGGAAGGAGCCAAGGAGTAGCAGTAGAAAGGCTGCAGATAGAGTCTGGAGCAGGGGCGAAGGCTGACTTGTTTGACAGGGTAATCAAAGTGAAACGATATCAGATATATGGCCTGTAGATATCACACAAGAATCTTACTCGAGGCGGCGACTCTTAGTTGTGAATGAAAACAAATCCGAAATTCAGCATCCCAGCTGAAAGACCAAGAAATGAAAAATAACTTGCGCTCGTGAGAATTTTTTTTAAAAGCCTAACCATTTCATAATCAACGCCTGCAGAACAAGTTTGATCACAGCCCAAGTTGGTGGCTAACTTTGAGTTGAGAAAATATCAACGTAGGACTCAAGAGTCCCCACGAGTAGAATTTACAGAAAAGTCTCTGCAATTCCAGTCCCCATCCATCTATAGCATAGCATTTACAGTATCATCATCATCCAGTGCCAGATCTGCGACAGACATCGGCGATCATGGTTCTCCATTCATTCCTTTGCTCGGATGCTCTTGAAAAAGCTACGTTTCCCTGATCTTTCCCTGTTACCCATTTGTTTAGGTTCACTAAGTATGTTGTTCTGGGCCTTCCCATGCCTCGCTTGCCCTCAATTTTGCCATTGAGAGCCAAATGTTCAAGACCCTTATGTCTATTTATGTGTCCCAAAAACTGCATTTGTCGTTTCCTGATTGTTATTAAAATTGAGCGTCCCACGTGGGCTTCATCAAGCACTACCTCATTTGATTTCTTTTCCTTCCATGATACTCTTAGCATTCTCCTAAGAAACCACATTTCTGTTGCTTCTATTTTATTCTCACTGTCCTTAGTGATTGTCCAGCATTCACAGTCATATAGAAGGGTTGACCAAACATAGCATTTCAGAACTTTCATTTTGGTGTTGATTGGGATGTTTCTATTTTTCCGGATTGGGCTCGTTTTATTGAAACTAGCCTTAGCCATTGTAATTCTCCGTCCTTTTTCTGTGGAACATTCGGCATCAGATGTTATCGTATATCCTAGATATTTAAACTGTTGGATTAGTTTGATCTTTTTACCTTTGCTTATGAGATTACAACTAGCCTTTGCTGCTTTTTTGGATAT